CACCGACCACCACCCACCGACTGACCGACCGACCGAAGACCTACCGACCTACTACCGACCTACCGACCTACCGACCTACCGACCTACCGACCTACCGACCTACCTACCCACCTACCCACCTACCCACCTACCCACCTACCCACCTACCCACCTACCCACCTACCCACCTACCACCTACCCACCTTACCCACTTACCCACCTTACCCACCTTACCCACCTTACCCACCTTACCCACCTTACCCACCTTACCCACCTACCTACCTACCTACCTACCTACCTACCTACCTACCTACCTACCTACCTGCCTATTTACTACCTGCTACCTACCTATTACTTCTTCCACCTACTACCTACTACCTGCTACCTGCTACCTGCTACCTGCTACCTGCTACTGCTTCTACACGTACATAGCCCATACATATATACATACAAGAATCCATAATTTTATAACACATACCTACATGCATGCACACACATCCACACACATACATACGTACATGCATGCATACATAACACTTACCTATGTACGAGCGCACAGACGATGGAGACACATAGACATCACAACATCCGCCGACAGGAGCATAAGGTGGGTTTGGAAAGCATCGAACAGGGTTTGCACAAGTATTTCGTAAGCATTCTGAGATTGTGCTTGCAAAGCATTAGAGCATGTCCGGTGCTTTCTGGGAGGCCGTTCCTCTTTAGAAGTGTTCCAAGATCTTGTATACACAGGGACCTCGACTTGGACATAGACATAGACATAGACGTTTACACACGGCATGCATGCATACATACATAGGCACGTACCTACGTGCATACATATAAACGTTCAGACATAAATACGTACACACAGACACGTGCATGCAGCATGCATGCATGCATACAGCATGCATTCCTCGATTGTTTGTGCGTGTGTGTCTGGTTCTGGGCATGGGTATGCATTGGCGCATGCATGCATGTCCGGCTTCTTCAGGCTGGCACTGTTCTTTGCTTTACTTTGCAGCGCTCCGACGAGGGCAAGTCGCTGGGGTGGGGCACCTGCACCTTCGCCGCTTCCCCGAACTGATTGTGAGGGAGGCTGGGGCATGACGACGAATTGCAGGAATTCGGGGCCGGGGGCTGGCAGGGGAATGTAGGCCGATCCTGACTTCTTGGTGTCAAATTGTACCTCCAGTTTGAATTAAATCCTTTCCAAGCGCCAAGCTCCAGTTTTCGCGGCAGATGCCTTGCAGCAAGGAAGTCCGAGCGCGCATCCTGCAGCGATGTTCGTCTAGTCTTGCTTGCATCCAAAGATTTGCGCCCGGTGCAGATTCTGAAGCTTCAAGGCTCTGAGCCCTGGATCTGGTCCACAACTATCGATGCCGTGAGTTGAAGCCGAGGATGGTGAAGGCGTCGCACGCCGCGCCATCGAGCGTTTCAACGGCGCCTGGGTGGACAACCGGAGGCCATGATTTTTGGCTTCCGTGCCAGACGATGTTGTGGGATCTGCAGGCCCTTTGAACGTCTAAGCATTGCAAGTAATCCGGCTGCACCATGATCGTCCATGGCCTTGAGATCAACAGCCAGGATCGAGGTCACCTCAGGCCCGGGAAGCACGAAAGTAAATTGCCTCTATCCGCGTCATTCAACATCCTGAACCTACAAGCTGCCGCCTTTTAGCTCAGATCAAGCCTGACCCACCTCCGGCCGAAACCTCCAAACGCTGACTCAAAGCTTCGACCCGGTGCAAGGATTCAGCTCGAGCTGGACTTCCGGCACAGAGAGGGAATCTGCAAGTCTGGTTCAACCTCGGGCTTGGGATCTCAAATTGAGGGTCAAGCCAAATGCCGCCAGCCGGAAAGCAGAGCCCTATTTTCAATCAATACTCCTTTTTTCCACAGCCAAGTGCTGTGGCCTAACTTGGAAAGACGAGTCTTCCTGGAACCAGCTGCAATTTCGTACTGGTATGATAGGTTGTGTCTGGATGAAGAACAAAGTTCTGCGTGAGGGAGTCGAGCCTGCCATGCGTGAAGTATGGATTTTGTGTGTCGCTTTAGAGCAGGACCCGAATCCGCCAAAGCAGCTTGGTTGCATCCGAGTTTTCAGGGGCTTCAGGGCAGAGCCTGTCTTCCGTGGCCTTCTACTCGAGACTAGGCATCGCGGTTCTTAGCCACTTCTGGTCTACAGGTGCTGAAGTCTCATGAATGAAAGGCTTCAGACCGAAGCCACAGAGACCGCCAGTACCATCAGCTCTATCTCGCAGTAGTCTCGAATGTCGAACCAATATACTGCAAGTTTGCAGCTTCCGACACTGAACCCTGGAGCTTCCGAGGAGCTTCCTCTCCTGTGTGTTCTTCCACAACGTCACGTGGACGACGACTGCCGCAGAGCTGAAGAGGAAGTTCGGTGCCTATGGCACCGTGGAGGACTCCTCCCGAAGTCCAGCTTTAGGGTCCGGAGGATGCTTGAACGCTTAAGGCGCTTTGTGGGCTTGAACTTGAGGTTTGGAGCCTTGGCTTCGTCCTTCGGGTTCTGCCAAGTGGAATCGGATACGTCAACTGACTTGCATGGCATATGAAAGTTTTTGGAAGAGTAGAAAGATTCAGACCGCAAGCCTCCCGGTAGCTCAGAGCAGACAGTGACCAGGAGTTCGAGCTACGGGTGAAGCCCAACGGCCGGTCTCTGGGGATGGGAACCTGCAGGCCACTCGACCTCCAGAGTTCAAGGCTTGGGGTCACCTGGCTTTTCGAGCCTGTTGATTGTCGAAGCCCAAGCCATACTGGCAAGTTTGTGCTGATGCCTTTGGGTGACTTTGCGGGCAGGTTTGAAGATTCAGTGCCGTTTCAGATCCCAGCGAGTCTATTTTTAATAGCTACCAGCGGCAGCAGACCAACATGAACCAGTTTTCGGAATGCTTGTGGCTTGGAGCTGTCTCGTTCAACCCCCTCTGGCCAGGTTCTCCTGCTCCAAGGAGGCCAAGAACGCCATCGCCAGCCTGGATGGGCAGATGCTGCACGGCAGAAGGCAAATGGGCTCTCAGTGGCACGGCTGTTTCCGAGTTGAGGTTTGCGACGGGCTTCGGGGCTTGGGACGGGAGAGGTTTTGGGTTGCCGGACATGTGCCAGTCAAGCTTCACACCCTCTCTCCCGACCTTCGGTCTGCGTGAAACAGCCACTTCGAGCCAAAGAAAGGAAACGACAATCCGGAAGCAGGCTCTACCTTTGCCGCTACGACCCGATTGGAGCTGGTCGAGTGCAGGCCGTGACCGGGGCTTTGAAAGCTGAGGGCTCGAGGGATTTCTTTCCTACTCCAAAGCATTGGTAGTGGCTGTTTCGCAGCCGTGCGTCTCCTTCAATTGAATGTAGCTTTGCGTTCGAAAGCTTTCTCTTGTCGACAAGGAAGCTGAAGCCTGGAGCCCGAAGCTCGCCTTGGCCGTCAGGCAAGCCGCCCCTGGGAGAATTGCGAGCCCGTGGGAGCCTTAAGTCTTCAGTCAGAGAGTCCCAGAGCGTATGCAGGCTTGAGGAGTGCAGACATCCTGCTAGGCCAAGCAAAGCATATGCCTCCCTTATCCGGGACCAGCCAATCAGGCAGAGGTCAAGGAAGAAGATGACAGTGACGTGGAAAACCAATGACCCCGCAACTCCACTGGAGGACTTCCTGGAGTGGCTTGAACAGGGTTTGGCCTGTGACTGCAGATGCCTTGGGAGTTGCGAACATGTCTGATGTCTTATGCTGCCTCACAGCCAGAAGCGGGTTTGGGTTGAGGGTTGACCACGTTCACGCAAACGCAGCATTGTTGCGTAGGGGCGTAGACTCATGGGAAGCTGTCTCTCCACACGCCGCACATCTGCTCGCCCTGCAAGGGCCTTTGCTCTCACTTCGTCGAAGAGATTGCTTCACTTTGAACAGAGCCTTCTTGCCGAATCTGCCGGGACAGATGTTCTTTGTCCCATAGAATAGGTTCACTAGCGAAGGTTTTGGGTTACTTGGGGAAATTTCCTCAAGCGTGTCCCATTATAGGCTCCGACTGGCAAAAGATGCACTTGCCAAAGTGGAGAAATGGCGAGCGGAGCTCATGACTGACTTGTTTCGCCACGGCTTGAACTGTTCGTTGTGTCGGTTCGACTTGTCCTGCCTCTGCTAAGCCGGACGGATAATATCGTGTCCCTTAAAACACTGTGCTAGACGTGTGCTCGCAGCAGCTGCTTGTGCTTGTTGTGGTTGCGAGAATGAGAACGAACACTGGCGGAAGCTGCTCGAAGCTCGGTATGGGTCTGTCACCCACGGGGTCCTTGCATGGCAGGTCTCTGCTCGTGACTTCAGCAACGAGCCGAGGCTGGCCGACGGTGCCGTTCAGAAGTGACTATCGGGTGAATCGGTACCTTTGACCAGCAGAAGTTGTCCTCCCCCGCCTCTCTCGTGCCCGAGGTACTGGACGTAAGAGGTCAATTGCATCCTTAAACTCCAAGTTCAGCGACATGGTCTTGACTTTACAACCTGTAGCCTGTGGGTCTGCTCGAGACTCCGAGCTTTCTATCTTCCTTTTGCAGACATTCGAGGCGTGTGGGGACTGGATGCCTTGCTGCGCTGCCGCTCGGCGGAGGGCGCGGTCTCGCCGCTGCTCCTACAGGTTCCCTGAAAGAGGTAGCTATAGCGTTCAGCCCCGACTGCCTCGAACAGCTTTTGTCCGGATTTGTTGGGCTCGGGAATGGGTAAGGTGGATGTGAAGATCGAGCTTGTTTGGACGAGTTTCGGGAGTGGCCAGGGACAAGACCTTGCAGGCAGTTTTGGAGAGTTTGGGATATCGGAGCAAGGAATTCGGGTTTGGTGTTGTACCAGTTGGCAATCTGGTTCTATGTGCCCGATTATGTCGGCTGGTGTCCCGGTCATCTTCAATGGCACCGTCCTCTCGGTTGTTGCATTGTACCAGATTAAACGCAGTCGCTGTGTTACTGGGTGTTCGGTGGTGGTGTTCCCGGAAAAACGCGAAAAGGAAGGAAGGAAGTAAGGAAGGAAGGAAGGAAGGAAGAAAGGAAGGAAGGAAAACAGTTTTGGCCGTCTCGAATGGTGGGGGGGTCTTGTGCCAGCCTCCGCTTAAGTTGGTACTTGAGTCGAACAGTAAGGATGCGTGCTTGGAGTGAAGACTGAGGGCGACCAAATCAAGCAACAAAAACACACTATGAGCAGACTCACAATCAATCAGCATCAACAGCAGTGAACAGTTCCGACAGCCTATAGACACCGAAGAGAGAGAAGAAACACAGAACCATAACATAAAGAAGGAAGAAAGGAAGGAAGAAGGAAGGAAGGCCGGTAGCTACGAAGGTAGCAGGAAGGTAGGTAAGAAGGTAGGTAGGAAGGTAGGGAGGAAGGTAGGAAGGAAGGACGGACGGAAGGAAGGAAGGAGCGTGAGCTGGAACAGCATGTCGATCTGGAAGTATGTCGGATCGACTGATGCCTCAGCTGCAACACCGACTCAGACGTCCATCAGAGTACCGATCACTACTTAACGCAACCTTTCGCTGGGAGTCATGCCATCCAAACACCCACGGGGTAGACATGGAAATCGAGCCGCAAGACGGAAGTCGTCCCAATCCTGCTGTGCTCTGCGGGAACGCGGCAAAACGGTGATGCCATGTCACATGGGCTGTATTCTCACATGCTTGTGAGGGGTGTGCCATAGGAAAGACCACGAACCATCAAGCCGAAGTTGAGCTTTCCCTGGTGCTTATGGCGTTACTCACCTTAGTGGGCTGGGGCTGGGCATCGAACAGTAACCAAAATCTCATCATGTGCAGCGACATGTGAGATACTGGGCGGGTCGCTTATCTCGCACCGCTTGGTTGACATGCGCATCGATGAGTGTCCACACTCGGGAATCGCACTTCAAATAATCAGATGTATTTGTGAACGATCTTTTTTGTTGCGGTCTTGTGGCAGAGTCAACATTAGGGTTTTGCATATCTGCTCTCGTCTTGTGTGCTTCCAGAGAAGTTCCAAAGTGTCAGGAACGGGGCACTGTGGCAATGGTTTGGAGATGGTTTTGGCTTTTGTTAAGGCTGTCAAGGGTAAGGGCCTTCCAGGAAGTGGCAATGCTGAAGGTACGGTGGTGTGAAATCCGAGATCGTTTTGGAAACATGGCCCCTGAACAACGCCTTCTTTGACTTCTGCACACGTGTGATGAGTCGCGTGCTATGCGGTTGCATTGACTTCTGACTTGTGGGGTGACCAACATGCCCGCTCGTAGTTTAGTGCTGCACCGTGCGTTCCGCCTTGTGTTTGTCGCATGTGCAAGGTAGTGTGTTGCATGTTACAAAATGCGCCATTTGCCAGCAGACAGTCAACTAGAAGACGCGTGGCCCGAAAGCATCATTAGCCATG